TGAAAATTAATCATAAAAATCAGAATTTAAAAGAGATATATACATTCGAATTTTTGGAGAAGTTCATTTTATCTATCGTGCTTGTCACATTTTGTTCAATATTTATTGACAGTCGATTGCCACAAAGAATGACAGGCAGCAAGCTGCCATCAACCAAAGTCAGCTCCACACATGGCTGGCTAGCTCCTAATTATCTATATGCGCGCAATAATAACGCATTTCCAGAAGCATTAGAACTAAAGCTCGAAGAAGAACAGAGGAGATTCCTCCAGCTTCAAACTGAAGATGATGAGGTAGTCCTCATTCAGCCTTTTCTAGAATTCTTTTTGCTCAAGCACTATTCGATGCACTGAAATTCCAGCTCAAGCAGATCTTGGAGAAAAATTCACGAGAGCTAGAGGAACTAGAATCCGCAGTAGCACAACTCAATGCTGATTTAGAGGTTCTGGATCGTGAGTTGCAAGACTTGGATGCTAAGATTGCAGCTGAGAATCAGCGTCAAGTAAGTGAATCTAGAATGTGCACCAATTAGCGAGTTCTGTGAGCCATCCATCAGCTTTTGGAAAGCAGAGTTGTCAAATTTAGTTCGAGTTTCACGTTTTCGAATTTCCTGCCCCTTTTTTCCTCGTAATTCTAAAGAGTCTTGCTGATCGAGGCCACTGTGCAGGACTCCTAAAAATTGTCACTTCTTTTAAGCTACAAGTGTTGTCTGTTTAGAATGAGATAAAACTCGAACTCAAAGCTACGACGCAAGAATTGGAACAGTATAAGGCGCAGTGTGCACAAGCAGAGGAGGAACTCACTGGATTGAAGGGAGACCTTGAGAAGGAGGAAGCCGATGCATCTGCGAAATTAGCGAATCTGGCGGTGAGGATTTCGTGAAAATTTGCAGATGGTTTACTTATCATGGCATTTCGTTTTTAGAAAGATTACGAAGATAAAGTGCAAGTTCTCACTGCCAAGAAGGAGAATCATATGAAGGAAATGGAAGAAACCAAACTCGAAGTGATTTCCTTTCTGTATTGAAAATCGAATATTGACTTTTACTCATTTGAGATTGCAAAAGCGGAAAAGATTAGAGTCTTCCAAAAGACACATCGCGACAACGCCAACACCATCTCTGAGAAGCAGACGAAGTTATCGGAGTTGCAAAACGAGCTGGATGACCTGCGCAAGAGAATCGAGGAGAAGAATGAAAAGCAAGCGAAAGATGTATCTATTTTTTTGTTCCATTGTATTATTGTGTTTTTTTCCTATTTTTTATAATTTTGCGGCTCACTGCTTATTG